AAAAAATTGTGAAATAAATTTGGTAGTGTTCCTTAGGAAGTCTAGTATTTAGGAAAAATATAGTCTTGATACTTACAGTAGAAATTTTGGAAGATTTAAATGGAAATTTGAAATGTGTTTTTGAATGCATGCAAACTTGTTTATTTTATATCTAGAGTTTCTGTGGTCCAAAAATTATGAAATTTTGTGGGTAAGCTATTCGTGCTTAGTATAAGCTCTGGTAAAAATTTGAGAGTCATTGCATGTGTGGTTTTTGAGTTATAGATTTTCCTTTTATCATTGATTGATACTTGTGTAAAATTTTGTAAATTATCTAAGAATCCTATGACCATGAAATTTTGTGGGGAGTATCCCAGTACCTTAAGGATGTTAGGAAAAATATGAAATCTGTTACTTGGCACTTTTAACTAAGGTTTTCTATTTATGCCTTTTTAAATAATTATGCCTTGTCATTTTTGTGTAGGCTATTCTACTTATTCAAATGCCATGAAAATTTTATGATAGTCTACTTAGAGTAGTACTATGCTACTGTAATTTTCTCAGATTTTTATGAACACCAGAAATATATGTTGCTGTGTAGCCCTAGTTTAAAATGAAATCAAATGATCTTTAATGCGAGTTTAGTTAATAATGTTCTCTTTGGTGTATCTTTGTAGCATCTTAGTTTGCTGTGGTGGTTTGGCATGTTAGTACAGTGGTTGTCATAGTAGATAGTAGTACATGTTCTTGGATGATGTTGACTACCTTGTAGAAGAGCTTTGCTACTACTGTGTCCAATGAAGTTAAACATGGTCATCTACATTTCATGCATCATGATCGTTACATGTCATCTCTCTGATGCACCTATACATTAGCACTTATACATCTGCATCATACAGGATCGTAGGAGGAGTTGCTAGTAGCAGTTCAGGAAGAGCAGACCGGGACAGATCCACAAGAAGTCCAGGCACAGGAGGTGCCAGAGGAAGAGGAGCAAGGAGAGGACTTGCCAGAGTGCGTGGATCACCAACCTAGTTCGTTCGAACGAGGCAAGCCCTGGAGCATTCTAAGTCTTCTACTTTATAAAAGCAATTCTTTCTATATATATGAGTTTATATATTGTTGCATTAAGTTGTAGGAGTTGATTGAAACCGTTGATGCATTTATTACTATCCTTGCCTACCTTATTACCTTTTACCCTGTTAGGTCAGGATCGAATAACTGCTTAGCCTTGCTTAGACCGGTAGCGATCGGTGATACCCGGTCACCTACATTATAGGTGGTTACTAGAAGAGATTGGCTATGGAAAGAATGATATCCTGGAATTAACCATATGTGATGGAAAATTGGAGACCGGACAGAATAGTTGGAGGCAACCAGACAGGGTTCTGGGGTGCTGTTAGTTTCCGTCTGTGTCGATTAAGGACCGATCGTTGCTCGTCCCTCTTGTCATGTTGAACGAATGGCTCATATTTAGCTGGCCGAATAAAGTACCTTTCGACCGCGAAGCTAGTGGCACTATTCGGGCCAGGATCTACACGAGTGCGCGTATTGGTGCTGATGGGGGTATGATAGGGGCACGAAGAGTGAGCCCAAGGGTAGGTGTGACCTGATTCCTGGCAGTCGGGCGGTCCCTGGGTACTGCGGCTCCAGATTATCCCGCGGCTACCTGAAAAATGTCATTGGTGATCTAAGCTACCCTGGCAGGGGAAGCATGGTTTGTGTGAGGAATAAATCACCAGCTGGTTAGGAATCGATTCGAATCGCCATCGCTCCTGGATAGTGAGCACTTGACTCGAGCTACGACATCGCAGTAATTATTATGGAACAAATGATGGTTATTTGGATGATGTGAGTTATGCTAAGGCTAAATTGGTAACTGGATGTTATTGGTTAATCATGTGATTGCTATAGTACAGGTGCTTACCCAGATGGATAGGTTATAATAAAGATGATGCAAAGTACTTAAAATAGTTTATTCATGATAACCTATGCTTTCGCAAAAGAGTCAGCTAGCCCACTAAAGAAAGCCTTGCATAATCATTGGTGTCGTTTTATTTTGGTTTACGATGGGTAAGTCTAGCTGAGTACCTTCTCGTACTCAGGGCGTTGTTTCCATTGTTGTTGCAGATGGTCAAATGTACTACGGCTATTGTATTAACTGCCTGTACCCGGCGATGGGTGACAACTAGGACCAAGGGCAAATGGTCACCCCGTATTTCTCATCTGATGCTTTTGTTGGAAATGACTACCTACTGGCACTGTATCTGAATCAAAAGTGTGTGTGGCTTTAAAACTATTTGCTTCCGCTATTTCAGTTCGAACTTGGTATGTAATAACTTTATGTTCTAAACTCTGATGTATCAACTGTCGTTGCGAACTTTATGTAACGTGTGACGGTATTTGCTAAACTTATACGATCTTGGTTTGTATGTCGATTGGTTTGAAATCCTTCGTGGTTTAACGGACTACCGGGTTATACGGGCTTAAGTTAGCTAAATTGTCTGCTTCGGCGGAAGATTTTCTTACTTAATCTCGTATAATTGGTCGGTTCTTTTACAGGGACCATCGCTGGCTGGGCCTAGGCCAGGTGCAGGCGTAGGTGCAGCTAGACATTGACAGGCCACACCACCATCCTCGGCCTCCGGCTGTCCAGAACCGGCCGTTCCCCAGCCTGCGTCGCGCATATAGAAGAAGGGTGAAAAACGTATGTTGCAAGCCTTATGTTTCAAGTGTTTCATATGTTTCATAGGTATGTTGCAAAAGTTTTATATGGATGTTGCAAAAGTAGATCGGGATGTTGCATATGTTGCAATGGTTGTACTCGTATGTTGCAAGCTTCTGTTTCTAATGTTTCATCTATTTTTCCAAACGTATGTTGCAAGTGTGTTTATTTGATGTTGCATATATTTTATACGTATGTTGCAAGTGTTTTATCTAGATGTTGCGTATGTTTTACAATGACTTTTCATGTGTTTTTGGGTATTTTTGCAAGTGTTTCAGATGCATGTTTCAAATGTTTTATCTTCTTCAGACGTATGTTGCAAGTGTTGCATCTGGATGTTTCAAAAGTAGATTGGGTGTTGCACATGTTGTAATGGCGCCGGTACCTAGCAGACAGTGGCCTACGTACCGCAGGGCTTCGGCTCCTACCTCGCACGGCGTGCCTCTCCTCTCCCTCCCCTTCCTTCCATCTCACCTCGGCGCTGGTGTTAGAGTGGGGGCTGTCGAGCTTGCTATGTTCGGACGTAGGGGCTGGAATCGGATGGGATGCGGGACGCAGGTGGCGTGGGATGGGTTGCGGGGCGCAGGGAGCATGGATGGGATGCGTTGTGGGCGCAAGGGGGTGTGGGATGCAATGCGGGTGCAGGTGCGGGAGCAGCGCCGGTACAAGTCTTGCGGCCGGACGTCCGGGCGCTAGCTCTTCCCTTTTTTTTCTCAATCATGCAAAGCACAGGTGATCATTTATCTGTTCACTCAGTCACTGTCGTTTAGCAGCGCTGAGGGTGAACCCGTAGAAACATCGAGGTTATTGGCCTGCAGTTTCAGGAAGTAGACATGAGCTTCAGCAAGTTTTCCTTGAGAACATTATTCTTTATTATGGAATACGGAGAGCCAAGACGCGGGCAGTTGTGCTGGTCTATGGTCGCAGGCGGATATAGCGGCAGAGCATGGCTACTTCCTGAAGATCATTTTTTCACCTTCTCCATAACATTGCGCTTAATTTGATGTTATAAGATTGGCCAGCTAAAAAATTTATAGATTATGTTCTGCACTATACCAAGCTAAACTGTGTCATGATACAATTAATTGTTCAAAATATATGCATCTAAATTAATTATATCTAGCCCTAGTGGGGGTGTTCGGCTGCACAAATAAGCTGTTGTTGCTGTCACTATAGTGATTTGAGAGAGAGAGAGAGAGAGAGAGAGAGAGAGAAAAGCTGCAGCCGCAACAACAACAGCCTATTTCTGCAATTGAACAGGCCAATAAAAATTCACAACACACTATTGCATATGCTCCTAAATTACCAACTATGTTAATATAAATATACTAACTCAAGATATGCATGCATAATGTATGTCACTTTATGATCAAGTATATAATTTTTTTGAAACATGATACAGATATATGTGAATGTGCATTCACCCAACAAAGTTATGCACGTAAGCTCTACCCCTAGCAAAACGTCTATGAAAGATTGGACTAAATAGATTTTGAGATTGACAAAGTAGGCACTCTGTGAACTGGCACGTCTCTTACTACTAAGAAATAAGTAAAAAACGTGAGCACTCAATGTTGATCGAAGACGTGAACTCTGAGTGAGCAAGTTCCGCTATAAGTAACCTAATCAACTGGACTTCATGCAAACCACATATCCGTGTATGAAGGATACGATATGAGCATATCAATTTACCTGTTAAACACATAAATCAAGCTTAGATTGGAACTAAACACGTCAGAAACACTTTGTGGTGTGATGATAAAGAAAAAAACCATGACCCTATAGAGTAATTAGTAGCTTAAAGCCTTAAACCTATATCAATAATGGATAAAGATTAGGCATGTGGTGGACTTTAAAAAAAAATCATGTTGTGGTTGTGCTTCCCGTTTCCGTTATAATGACAAGGCATATATATAAACAAAAATATATGGCACAACAAAAGGGGCAGCTTCAAATCAAATGCCACAATGTGAGTTGGTACAGTCACAATAATCCAGCTGTTTGACCTGAACACGCCAGGCTCAAAATAAGACCATTGTGAAACGGCAGAGCACATGCCAATTTGCTCAAAAAGAAATAAGACCATTGCATATGACTGACTGCACAAAAAAGGGGCAACATAGTACAATTTCACAAAGATACAGGTTTACTTTTACCAAGAACACAAGAATCCCAGTTTCATGACCAAACGATCATGATTTGCCCATTCTTGTACAGCATGCATTGTACAGTGCTTCCAAATAAACTTCCAAGCTGTGGCAAACGCACGGCAGGACAGCCACACAGGAATGCAGGATTATCGGGTCTTCACCTTCTCGGCTTGAAATGCTGCCGAAATCTTCTTCCAGCTCCTTGTGGCAATGAGCGTTGCTATGATCACCCATGAACTGTTGGAACCGATGAAATATGCCCAGAAGTAGAACGGACTGACCCAGAAGAAGCCATCCAGGTACGCGGTGATAAAGTAAAGCAAGCGTCCGTATAGCTGGCCCAAAGAAACGGCGAACTGGAGGGTGTGGCTGTACGACTTCCGGGATGCAATCGCATAGCTGGAATACTAACTTTGTCACCAAATAAATCGATTCATAGAATCCATGCCAGTTAAATTTTAACAACATCTATAATATAAAATAAGCATCTTATGAAAATATATTCCATGGTAAATCTAATGATACTAATTTGATATCATAAATCTTAACGTTTTTTAGAAATTTTGTCAAAATTTTAAAAGTTTGACTTTACACAACTCTAGAAATCTATTTATTCAGGGACGGAGGGAGTATATAAAACAAATAAGCCACCTCATCTTACTATTACTAATTACAAACTTCTTTTAGTTCTTCCATATTAATTATAAACTTCTAAATAAAAAGAAAGAACTCTCATCAATGGGCTTAATTATGTTTTCCAAATAAATAACAATACCTCTGCACTACGAGGAATACTAGTAGACTAGTAGTGGCCCTAAATCCTATCAAAAAAAAAAAGTAGTGGCCCTAAATCTATTTTTAAACTACACATTCTACCATTAGAAAAAAATAGCTTAAAGTGACCAATTTTGCGTGCTTGGAAAGAGATGAGAAACAGCTCTGCTCTTACGCTGCAAGAAGCGATGCAGGGCCTTCCAACCCGATGGTTACCACTTCAAGCGCGAGGACTGCGGTGTTCCTAGCGGCGAATCTGGAGTCACCTTTGCTGTACTCCTTAACTGAAACAACATTTGCATTTGCTGTGTCAGTGGTCAGTCAAACAATAATACACCATTTGCTGATTTCAAAATTCAAAACTACAATTGGCCAATTGGCACAGCGATCTGGGGTCGTAGCGGCGCCGAAGAACTCACAGAAGTCGTCGAAGTAATTTGGGTTTTCCTTGCTGAGGAAATCAGGGGTGAAGAGGAAGGGCGACTCGAAGACGATGTAAGTCAGCGCGATGAACACCCACCAGCCCATGAGCAAGCGGTCGGACCTGGATAATCTACCGCCGCCGCATCTTCCTGCGAAGCGCATGCAGTCGTCGATCGGGATCTGTACAGATTTTGGTAATCGAAAGGAGTGGAGGCAGTGGAGTTACCGGAGATGAGCCAGGCGCCGAGGACGGAGAAGACGGCATTGCCGGCGTGAGGATCTGGCCCTGCGACAGCCGCTGCGGCACGAACCCCGGCAGCACCAGCTCCGCCGGCGAGTAAGGGTGGCCATGTCCGGCCATAGCCGCCGCCGCCTCGTGTTCTGGATTGGCCTAAAGCAAGCCTAAGGAGCCTTCTGCTACGCTATAGACTTCGGGAAGACGACGATCGTCGCTGCTGACAAAAGCAGCTTGCTAAGTCCTGCTAGGCAAGCTGTATGTTTGGCCACTAGTCCATCACGCGCGTCATCGCGCGCGCCGACAAATCACCTGGTTAAAACGTAGGTAAAAAAAATATTTAATATTTGCATGAAAACAATATTAGGAGTTTAATATAGATATGTCATGCACAAGAACTGAACGATTGGAGCTCTTTTTATATTTAACATGGTAAAACTATTCAGAATTGTAAACATGAAATGATTGATGTGGTAGATGACATTTAGTAGCAAAAACATAGAAGCCAATATAATAAACTATTTCAGGTCTTCACACCGCACGAGAAATATTCTAAAGCTTCTATTTTCACACCGATCATGAAGCATGAGTATTTTTTTTTCTAGAGTCATATAGAGATTAGAAATTGGAAGAAGTAATGAAATGGCATTTACCTTACCCGTGTATTTGCATCTTCGTGGCCTACTGTCACACCCAATTTTATGGATAAAATGGGGTGCAAAACCTTATGTGCGCCCAGAGAACAGTCACACACATAAACCGACAAATTATGAATAGTATCATCACCGATGTTTATTATATCACGAATAAGACAGAGTTATTACATAAGTATAGCGTGAATAATAAAAAGATCTATCGCGGAAGCTCCAATTCACAGGGACGCCGACTGGTTGACCACAAGTCTAGTAGTCCTCAGGGAAATCATCATTCTCAAGGTCATCTGTTACCCATCCGGGATTTTTATCCAAGTAATGAAAATAAACAAGCGTAAGTACATATCGTACTCAACAAGTGTAACACGGGGTTCATAAGGCTCAAAAGGCTAGACACAGGCTTAACAGCGGTCAGCTTTTAGTTGTCACAATTTTAGCTTATGAGTAGCATCAAAGTGTTTCAGTCCCCAAAGTAGAACACATGATCAAATGTAAACATGAGTAATGAATAGCATAAACAGATATTACTTAGTGATCATCTATTCCATAAGGGTTCCAAGGCCGCTCGTGACCGTGAGCACGGCTGATATATCAGTTTTACACTCTGTAGAGGTTGTACACTTTCACTATGAGTTGTGATACCCATATGCCCGGGTTTATAACTTCCAAAACACTTCTAAGGTGAGCAGGTAGGGGTCACTATGAAGCCTTTCAAAGGTTCATCTAACAAATTAGGGCCATTAGATTCACTTGGCAAACAGATATAGAGCCCCCCTTCCTGATGGCACATTGACACGCAGCCTATACACATAAGGCTAGAGGCCGCTCTATACCCGATTCGGCAAGCCATTCTTACGCCAATGAAGGTAACCACTAACAAGCTAGAAAAAGTCCTTATACTGAGCTAAAGCCAGAGCCATGTAGCCCTCACAGCTGTACTGTAAGTCCCAGGTGATCACTTACAGATAAGTCCTTAGGGAGAGGAATCTGAGGCATTTAGAAAGTAGCTAAATACTCCAGCCCCCTGTTTCCAAGTTGCTAAAAAAGTCATATTTTATGTTTATTGCATATACCATTAGTCAAGTTATAAGATCATGGTTTAACTGAGCTCTAGCAAAGCTACCCATATGCATAACCCATAGGTGACAAGGCAACGGTCCAATTCTAGGAATTTCCTAACAAGAAGACACATGCGACATGAATTTAATGAATTGCAGTGAATAGAAAACAAGGATGATCCCATACTATACTTGCCTTGAGCAACGTACTCCTGCTGATCCTGCTCGTCAAAGTCATACCCTTGATCTCCCGAGAACTGCTCACCGTCTTTACTCGATAACCACAGCAACATACAATCATCCAAGAGCAATCATGCAAAGCAAACAAGGCTATAGATTAGAACAGTGCACCAACATCAAAGAATCAAGATGAAAAAGTTTGGAAAATTAATCTACGTCTCGCTACGAACACACAGACGCGAAGATCACGAAAATCGGATCTAAAACGGAAAAGTTATGATTTAAACAAGATTTCCTATAGGAAAATAATAGATTAAATCTAAGCTCGAATTTTAAAAGTTAGAAACCTACTTTACAGTAGCATAAACATGTAGATTACTTAATTATGAACCTAACGCAACTTGAACGGATCAAATCGGAGTTAAAACGAAGATTTTACGGCTAAAACAAGTTGAATGGCAAATCTGTAAATAATTGAAAACGTATTTCAGCCCATCCGAACGAAAATACGCTTTTGAAAGAAAGAAAACAGAGACTGTGAAACGCGCAAAGGACCGCGGGTTAACACCGAAGTAATTATAAGGACGTAATTGCAAAATCGGCAACGAAAGGGTATCTGTTGATCTGGGCCGTTGGATTAGAAACCGACGGCTAAAAATAAATCTGGCGGAAATAGAAAGAGAGAGAGGGCACCGAAACAGTGCTCCGGCGGCTTGAGCATCGGCGGCTCCATGGCCGGCGTGCTAGAGCTCTCCAACCTCGACCTCCAGTGCACCATTCGACGAAATAAAAATACAGGGGGAGAGAGGAAGGAACGGCGAACTCACCGAACCCGAGCACCGAGAATGAGAGGCAGTAGAGGCGGTCCGGCGCGAGCTGGCAGCGGAGGTCGGCGGCGGAGCTGGATCGAAGCTCAGCTACGGCGGCTTGGGAAAAAAAACAAACGCTAGATGGGATAGGGGATAGAGGAGGGGTGCGGGCGCTATTTATGGGGCCGCACACTTGGGCGTCACGGCACCGAAGATCGTAGCGGCTCCGGACTCAACGGCGACGTCACAGTGTCCGCCTGGGACACGAACAAGAGGAAGGAGATGGGTCTGACTCACGGGCCCAGCCGGTCAACTGCGGAGGAGGCTTGCGCGGGCGTGGCTTGCGGCTGGGCGCGCGACTGGGCCGGGGATGCTGGGCTGCGCGAGCTGGGCTGACTCCAGAGCAAAGCCGAGCGGGCCTCAGCGGGAAAGAACAAAATAGGCCGGCGCGGGGAAGAGAAGGCCACAGCGGCAGCAGCGGGCCTTCGGGCCGAAAAGAAGGAGGAGTGATTCCATTTTTTTCCAATTCCTTTCCAAATCAAATTTTGAAAGCAAGAATTCAAATCAAATTCAAACTTGAGTTCAAACCAAACCACTCCAAAAATTGATATGCAGCAGCATGAATGCACATTCATTGTTGTTAAACTTTATTAAATTTTAATTTGGCATACTTTATTATTCTTCCTAAATTTAAATGCCCACAAAAATACTTAGTAAATCAATTTTTCTCTAGTTTCAATTGTTGTAAAATTTAGGGTGTTACAATTCTACCCCCCTTAAAATGAATCTCGTCCTCGAGATTCGAACGATGCTTACTCAAATAACTGTGGGTATGTTTTTCCTCAGATCCTCTTCTCTTTCCCAAGTAGCCTCATCTACTGTATACCGATTCCACTGAACCTTGCACATCTTTATAACTCGGCTCCTTGTAACTCTTTCTGCCGTCTCCAAAATCCTTACTGGAAACTCCTCATATGTGAGATCCTCCTTAACTGTAAGCTCTTCTAATGGTATCTGCTCCTCGGGTACACGCAAACACTTCTTAAGCTGAGACACATGGAACACATCATGTACACCTGGCAAACTCTCAGGCAATTCCAACTGATAAGCTACCTCTCCACGTCTCTCTAAAATCTTGAAAGGTCCAATATACCTTGGGGCTAACTTCCCTTTTATGTTAAACTTTCTCACACTCCTCATAGGTGACACCTTCAAGTACACATAATCACCTACTTCGAAAACCAATTCCCTTCTTCTAGTGTCGGCATAGCTCTTTTGTCGAGACTGAGCCACTCTCAAGTTATCTCTGATCATCCTTACTTGCTCTTCTGCATCTCTCAAGACATCTGGTCCGAACACCTGAGTTTCCCCTGTTTGGTTCCAAAACAACGGGGTCCTACACTTTCGTCCATACAAAGTTTCGAAAGGTGCCATATTGAGACTTTTCTGATAATTGTTGTTGTACGAGAACTCTGCATAAGGCAACTCTTATCCCAACTTGTACCATACTGCAACGCACAAGCCCTCAACATATCCTCTAGTATCTGATTAATTCTCTTAGTTTGCCCATCTGTCTGAGGATGATATGCCGTACTAAAATTCAACTTGGTTCCCAATGAACTATGTACTTGCTGCCAAAAATAAGATGTAAATTGGGTACCTTGATCGGACACAATTTTCTTGGGCACTCCATGTAGACATACAATTCTCTCCATATATAACTGAGCTAACCTTGGTCCATTATAAGTAGTCTTGACCGGCATAAAGTGAGCAACTTTAGTTAACCGATCTACTATTACCCAGATTGAATCATAACCCCTCTGAGTACGCGGTAACCCAACTATAAAATCCATACCAACTTCTTCCCACTTCCACTCAGGTATCTTCATTGATTGTAGTAACCCTGCAGGTCTTTGATGTTCAGCTTTGACCCTCTGACATGTATCACACAAAGCAACATATTCAGCAACATCTCTCTTAAGTCCGTACCACTAATACTTCTCTTTCAGATCCAAATACATCTTAATACTTCCAGGATGAATAGAATAAGCAGACTCATGTGCCTCACGAAGAATTGCCTCTCGTATAGCCTTATCCTCAGGCACACATAGTCTTTTCCCAAACCACAGAGTTCCATTGTCATCCATACGGAAACCTGGTGCCTTACCAATCACTATGTTTTCTGCTATATCTTTCAACTTCGCATCCTGTAACTGTCCTTTATGTATTTCTTGCTCCAATTTAGGCTCCAACACCAACTCCACTACATTAGTGACAAAGCCTAAATTCAGTCGCTCAAACTCAGCACACACCTCACTTGACATCGATGTCACTTGCACCTCATTGGCATAACTCTTCCTACTAAGAGCATCGGCAACAACGTTCGCCTTTCCAGGATGATAGTGCACCTCCAGATCATAATCTTT